TTTTTCAGCTGTTTCAACTACACAAGTTGGTTCTATGATATTAAATAGCATTAAAAGGTTATAAGGTTTACCAACAGGGTGCAGTACTATTAACTTTTTTGCACTTTGTGTCCTCTTCCCATTGCAAAGCACGGGTACAACATCTAGTGTATATTAAATGCACAAGCTGTATCCATGGCATTGCAATGGACTTGTTTTTTGTCACAGCTGCCTAGACAACTATTTATTGTTATTTTTTACTAAGCTGATTCCTCAAAATATTTAAGATAAATAAGAGATACGTTATATTGCAAAACATACTTGGGTGAAAAATAACGTTTGTACCACGAGCCAAAATGGGTTTGCAGCTCTCGATCGATTCACGTTCTCGAATTCGTCTCGAACTTAAAACCCAATCTCGAGTCGGCAAAACCTCACTTTCGGCCCTAGGTACGAAATATACTATTTTTGTACGGTGGATTTAGAGACCCAAACTTGGTAGAGATGTCCAAAGAAACGTCTTTGTCTGTAGATGAGTTAGGTATCAAAAGAAAGACTAATCGAAATCCCTTAGGACTCTGCCCCAGAAGCCTTTAAAGATCCCTCCACAGAGCTGTTTACATTTTGGCCATGTGAATAATACTTTTTAATGAAACAGCTGTTCATTTTTAAATTGTATTTCAAACAACACACATTTATTGGTAGTTACTGAATTCTACCAAATAAGTATTTGCAATGTTATTTTCTGATTTTAAAATTGATTTTCTTCTTTATCATGTCATGTTTTGCAACATAACGTCCCATTACGAAATCAGTGGAAAGTCCTTTTATCACAGCAATTCTTAAATTATTTCTTATTGAACTATCTTATATCACTTGCACGGGTTGGTGTCTGCCTTTTTCACCACTTTTGCCTATATTTTATCATATTATACTACACATATCAAATATTTATGTAGAAATATCTGATCTTATCGTGTCTAATAAAATCCAAACATAGAAACTTTGTCTAAAATGGTACCCATCTTGACAAATTATTTGTACCTGCCTATATTACGGACTTTGGCGCACTGGTTTGGTAACATTATTGAAAATAACACGACATTTTGGCTGTAAAAAATGGTACAAAGAGAAAATACTATTTAAGCAGCTACTATCAATGCGGAGCGAGCGAAGCTCTTTGGGATCAACTTTAATGCAACAAATAGAGACACATCACTCAATAACGACTGAACGCATTTCAGCCAAACTTAACAAAATTACTTAGACTAATAGTGAGATGGCTTTTAAACAAACAAATTTCAATTAGATAATGCTAATGCAATTTAAATCGAACTTAAAATTTCCAATATTTAACATTAGGCTTATGGGACTAAAGTATCCATAACAGTTTTTTTTGTTTACAATAGAAATATAAACAAGATACCCATAAGGTATTTCTGAACTTTCTAGACTTTTCTTTTAAATGTTTTTAAACCATTCCTATGATTTTAATGAACATGAAAATGGCGTTAAAACATTTTTTTAAGGCGCGGAATTCACTGAAAATTGAGAAAATATATGGAACTACTTTCTCAATTCACGGAGCATAAACAAGGAGCGGAGGGATACGGACCTGTGACTACTTTCTTGGGAACCTATTTGTGTTGCCGGCTGATTAGAAACAGCCAATGTTAGAAATAAATCAGGATTTCGAGCAGTCTTGCTGTTAATCTGCTGGACAATAAAGGGAGTATGTTTAATCTATGACAATAGTCAGTGCATTACCAGATTAAAAAGTGTTGTGCATGTGCTGGACCTAAGCTACAGATTTCTGTAAATATTTAAATGATTGTTCCAATTTTTGGCAAGACTTGTTGATGAACAGGTGCTTGTTTAATGTTTCCTGACATTGTTTTGATATATGTTTTACTTATTGTTCTCATATTTGAACAGATTGTAAAATAAATTCTGATAAAAAATAAATAAATAAGCGATATATCGAACCGCATCGAAATCGATATTTAATCCGATAATACCTCACAGGTTATATTATGTTGAATTACATCGACGGTGCAGTAAGTTATTACACTTATTAATAAAACGCAGATTGAACACTGATCTAATTTAGGCATGTGGGGAAGGTAGGTCGGGGTTTATGAGTATTCGTGACTACATTAAGTGTTTTAAAGTAAGGTTAGATTAGGGAGGTAAAGTGTAGGTTATAGATAGGTGATCGGGTTGTTTATTTGTGTTGCACCATATAATTTTTATCTTTTGGAATAGTTGGTTAAACGGGGAACCGATTTGAAAAATGCTTGTGTTATGGCCTTAACAAGCCATCTACAGTATTCTAGCATTGTTTTTTATATAAACTCAATGATTCTAGCAAATTACTACATACAAACCAAATGAAAAGAACATTTGGATTTGGACCTTTGACCATACCAAAACTAACATATAATTTATGAAATGTGAAAAGTTGTATAACATTAAATACTATTCTGTAATATTAATAATTGTTCGGCAAATCCTCATTTTAATGGCTCGGCTGAAAATGGAATATGTATTTTGTGAAACAGTAATTTGGTAACAATTCAGTAATTTCAAAAATTGATAACAGTAGCCTGTCCTATTTAAATACTGTTATTTGATTGCCAAGCCACGGACTATACATACGTCCAGTTACAACCGTAATAAGTAAATAATTAATTACCTGGGCTAATAGAAGTACACGGTATGGATAATTGTCTAGGCCTGTCCAGAAGTAGGCTACGAATTTCTAATCATATTATCTATATTGTATATTTAAGGCATGTCTAGTAATAATATGTATTTTAATTTAAGTACTGTCTTTAATTGATGCGGTTATATGTTTACCTCATATAACATTTGAACATGGATTGAAACATTAGATGTCTTTAAGATACTCTGACAGTGAGAAGCAAAACATAACTTTCAGCAATGTTGCATCGAAATTTACCTCTACTGAGTGATTCAGAAATGTAATTGTAAAATTTTTTGTCAACATGACTAGAATGTTAGTGAAATAGATGTCAGCACGAAATAGTTTGTAAGATAAAAAATTGCAGCATAGGACAACTTATATAGTGTTCTAACCTAAAACATTGTTATTGTTTCAATGTAAAAATTCAATTAATACAAAGTAACTACGTTACCAATTTATGTTTGTAAACAAAAATACATTTTTTAATGGTGGCATAAAAACAATTTTAATAATTATTTACTACACAAATTATTTTTAATGTAACACATTGTTCACCACTCGGAGCAAAAGTATATTATTTATGGTACTTAAATTTAGTATTTCTTACGTGGCAGTACAGTATTATTAGTTTATTAGTTGCCTGTTGCACTGTTCTACACACTGCTCAAGCGCTACAACTCATCAAGTGGCATCCTGTCCACACACTGTTGATATATACTGAATTGCGGCATGGTGCCACTATTTAGAGTGTAGGCTGGCGCGAGAATTGGCAACATAGCATTAGGAAAGTTATAGTTCCGGCGGACGGCGCGAGGCGCGCTAGCTACCTGTATGGTTTCGTGTTCCACAATTCGGCGTGTACCTGCGCTACTTAAACTCACATCAACGAGTTCACAAAATACTCAATTGTGGCATGTGATGTTTAAACGACGTAATAATGCTGGAAAACCTAAAAAATGATCGAATTAGCTGTGGCACCCTGAAAAAGGTTCCACAATTTTTGAAGGTGCCACAGTACGGCCGTGTGCCTGTGAAGGATGCCACTATTCGGTGAATACAGACACACACCCACACACACACACACACACACACACACACACATATATATATATATATATATATATATAATAATAATAATTTGAAGGAATTGTGAAAAACCACATCTTCATAGATTAATGTTAGTGTCCTTTGGTGAGATAACGAAAATAAAAATCCTCTGACTTCAATATATTTAGCATGATCGGACTATGGAAACGGGGTTTATGGGGGTACAAATTTAGTTTTCCAGCTAATAATACATGCCCTAATATGTTTTAATGTCTGTCCTTAAAACATACAATTTTGCAATTTCTTTCTTAACCATTTTGCAAAGCTTAAAAAATTATTTAGTATAACGAAATGTGGTTGTACGCTGAATGGTTACAGAGAAATTATTGTAAATGGTAAAATAACTAAAATTAAGTATTGAAATATCATATGTCATTTTTATTACGGAAATAGGTCAACTGTAGTAGAAACCTTGTTTAAAAGATTTTTTTGAAATTTATTTATTTAGTAGGTACTAAATTGTTAACACTTCTCTAAAAACACACTTTAATATCTTCCCTAAGATATTAAAGACTTAGACAGTATACTTAGACAGCAAATCTAAGTACAGAAGAACCCCTCATATCCAACCTCTGCATAACCGACTCCTCGGGATATCCGACCTAGTGTCTAACTGACTACCTGTTCCCTGTCTGGGCCTATAACGCCGAGCGCATACGGTTAATTTAGTGGCCGATCACAGTTTCACTAGCAAATTAAAAAATGTGGTTCATTGTAGTTAGTAGCTTCTTTTAATCTTCCTATTGTAGTTTTTTTACAAACCTAAAAGCAACACCTATGATTGGAAGACAAGTTTAGTACGTTTGACAAACTTGTATTTTAATTTCAGCTGATGTTTTTTTTTTTTAACATACAAGAAAAGAATACTCTAAATTTTACCTGAACCAATTTTATCCATGGTGTAAAGAGAGAACTAAAATTAAGCTCTAGGCTATTCTTTGGAGTACAACCCACAAACCATGATTGATAAACCTGGTTTTATTTTACTGTAAGAATATATATGAAAAAGAAGCAATTACTAAACCATAATATCTACAAGTAAGAGTTTGTTAGTAAATATAACATCACATTTTAATATGACATGACCTAATACAATAGAAAATTCATGAACTTGAAGAATTTAGGCATCAAACAAAATAAACAACCCTATTGAAGCAAGAAATAAAATTAAATCATGACTGTATAAAAGCAGAAATTGACAGAAGACTCAAAGTATAAAAATATATAATATTTGTGCAACATAGTAGAAGAGAAAGTTTACAAAAAATAAAAGATTGAATACATTTTAAAAGATAAAACCCTTTTAAAGCACAATAAAATATTGCTTGGTTATAATTTTCCATAGGAAATATTATTTTACTGTTTAAACAGTTATGGTTCTTGGAACCCAGGAGAACTTAAAAATACCAAAAACTTAGTTTAACAAACTAATGAGATGTATAACAAAACTATCACAAAGAGTCAGCATGAAGCCTACATATAAAGTATTGTAAAAGAAATTATATACAATAGTAATGTACTGGGCTGGATATTATAATAGAATACGGCCACTGCACCTGAGGCGTCTGATCAGGTCTGATCTATCAGGACGATGTATTTCTTGGATAGCGGTGACAAGCGTCATCTGTTGTCCCCTGCGTTACCAGAGTCCTCCTGGAACAGTGGTGTCAACTTACAAATCCATCCTGGTACAAGAAACACAATCACTTCACATTGTAGAAATAAATTAGAATATATCATTTCTTTTTAATTAATGAAGGTTGGGTTGGGAAGAATGAGAAGAAACACGTCTTCCCAACTCGAAAAGAACTCAAAAAGCCCCCTTTACCCAAACATTTCTTGGTTGAATATGCTGTCAGTGACAGAATAAATGAATGAATGAATGAATAAAGTGCTTTATTTTAAAATAAACATTCCCCTCATAAACATAATCAAACACTTAATAAACAATGGTCTACGACCGTCTGTTTGGTTGACACACCTGGAAAACACATTTATGAAAATGAAGTTGAAACAAAATACACTTAATAACATACACAAATTTACATACAATTATACATCCATTTTTAAACTAAACTTAAAAAAAACCTTTTTCATAATATTGTTTACATAACTTGTATTATTTTACTTTTAAAATTATTAGGTTTTAAAAGGTTTACGCATAATAAAATCTATAAAATTACTATGAATATTCAAGAAGACAGGCTGACAATTTATTTGAAATATTTATTGTTTTGCTATAATTTATAAATTAGAAAGAGAATAAAACAATTTTGAATTTGGAAAAAAAAAACTTCACTTGATTTATTCGTAATTAAATTCTCTAATTAACTCCCACCTCCTTCTCCACGCCTCTCTCATAAAGTTTGCTAATTTACGCCAATGCCTACCATTTATGTATTCTATGTGTTCTTCCCAATGCATGCTTCGTTTTCCAAACCAATACTCCCTGATATCACCTAAAATTGGGCAAATAGAAACAAATTGAAAAACTGTTTCAAATTCGCGCAAATTGCACAGACTACAAAAATGATTTTTATTCGTTATCCATGGTTTGTGATTCAAATCAACCAGCTCTGCTCGGGCCTTAATGACCCATGAGATAAGACTATTGATGCTATCAGTGAGAAAACTCCTGGGCCCTAGGTCAAGGTTAACGGCAAGCAGTTGTTGGTGATATTGCGATGTACGCGCTCTGCCAACCATATCAATTCTCCAGCTATCTCTTTCCGCCTCAACTATCTTCACTAATCCCTCAAAAACATCTGCTGACTCGAAATTAATATCACTAATCGTTCACTATCGAGTCCACACTGGTTTAGCCGAGACCACGTTGCCGCACCGTTTATCGCTTATAACTGCTGTCTACTGCAGGTTTGCGGTAAATTTAGCTTATCACTCCGTGTAAATCAGTCAACATAACCGGATTTCACTCAGATTTACTGATAAAATGTCGTTAAATTGTGAAAATTGAAGAATATTTGGGAACTTGCAATCACGCACGTCTGCTTTGAATCGCACCAGTAGTGCCAACCTGTCAGTGACAGTAAAATATTATAATACATATTTTAAAACTTGTGATATAAACTTTGTCTGGAGATAGTGGATTATAAATTAGAAGATTAGTATCACACTTCACGGTTATGAAGTTTTGAAAGTTAGAAAAGAATATTTGAATCTTGAAAATCACTAAGATCTACATATCACATACAATGATATAACATTTTAAATAACAAAATACATCTGAGAAATGTTTTTGCATGGCCACTTAGGATTTATTAAAAATATAATTTAAAATACTTATTGCTAGCAGTACTCATTGTTAGGAGTTCTAATTTGGAAGCACATTTTATCGTAAGATAACACAGAGTCACAAAAGATATATACAAAATGTGAAAGTAGGGATTATTATGTGGGAAGCTGAAAAGTTCCAAGTAAGCAAACGATCTGACCATAAAGAAACAAATTCAGGTCGAGAGGTAAGTTTGAATGGTCTGATCAACAATTTATTAGCATAATCATTGTATACACTTACTATAGAAGACACTCAGTGGAGTCTACCGTTACCTGAACAGCGATGTTACAGAGAAGTGTCAGCGGCCCGAACTACGCAACCTTGGGCATGCCGGTAAGTTAGTTTAGTTTTAATATTGTGTTTGTTGAAGGTTCTAAAATGTCATTTTTCTTGATGACATTTTTTTGTTTGGTCGTTTAGTTGTTTTCTTATGCATTTTTAATACAAATGATTTTGAAGTGCTCAGAGGTGCACTGCACTACCGACCGACTACCGCAACCCAATCGTCAGTGACCCAAACTACGCCGCCAAAACCAGTAAAATGTATAAGCATTATGTGTCTCCTCTTATATGTGTATACTCAATGACATAATTAAACTGGTCCATTTACAAGAGTACATGCTTGTGAATTCAGACAGAAAACATACAGGTGATTTATTTTAATTCTGTTGTGATCCTTTGTTGTGAGCACAAATAAGCTATGCTGGCTCTATTGTTGTTCATGCTGTGGTAAAAATGAATTGAAATGTGTCTATTCCCATATTTTAAAAGAGTTTCTACTCTGTAGAGTAGAGACTTACAGTTAGCAGTATGACAGAGTTGTCTGGTTGGATGATGCCACCACGTTGTTGCTGCCGCACATACAAGGCTGCCATCTGTTGTTGCAGTCGACGCAGTTCAGGGGAAGGCTTGAAGTTGTCTGCCTGCAACACGTCTAGTGGGGGAGGAGCGGAGTCTAGTGTCTCTACATCGTAAGACACTGGGGCTCGACACACAGGGCACGTAGCCTAGTCAAAAACACAGGTTCATTTGGGTTCCCTAACGTTGGCTTTATTTGCCCTTAGTAAATGCTCTTATTTTTTTTAAATATATTCATTATTCAACATGCTTTATTTCATAACAGCTGCAGATAAATTATTGAAACATTAACCTTGAATTTTTATACACTGTCAAGTTGTGTCATGGTACACAATCTAGGGTCTGACTTAGGGGAGGTACGAATGAGGCATTAGTTCAAAATTCCTCCGTGAACAGCGCTGTAGTAGAGAGCACTTTGGCAATAAAGGTTTAAAAATACTTCTGTTCATAAAATAAAATTATAAATGCCTCAAATTCAATTTTATAATTATAAAATTAAACTATCATAACCCAACCGAACTAACCAAACTTGCTGATAATGAAATAATATAAAAAAGTTTACTAATAGAAAACATAATTCTGTTCATTAATTAAAACTAGAAATTGCTCAATCAAAATTTTAAAATGACTTGACTTAATAATTATTTATTTTTGTAAAAAAATACAACCGACTTCAAACGCTCTAAAAAGAATGAAATAATTTCAATAAAGTAAACTTTTGTATTAGGCAAGCTCACGTACTTCAAGTCGGCGCGGCTCTATGATGATTTTTGAAACAAAATTGAAGGATGGTGTCCATATTGCAGGTGACTATCTATAACTAAAGTTGTTAATCTGCATGTCTTTTTCATAGTTATGCGTTAAGTGTTATTTTATTACCGTAATCAGAGATCGGCATTATAGTGGTATTAACGAGCATCTTTAAAAAGATTATAACGCATCTAAATGTTTCTAACATGGATAAGTAACGTTTTAATACCAAACTAGCTTCTTTTCCCTATCATAATATCAAACTAAATTATTTTCCTATTCATATAGAACATTTGTGTGTGTTATTTTCATAATGCATTTATTCTGAAGTAAACACAAAATACAATAAAATATTTCCTTTAATATATAAATAAAACAGTTCAGTATGTTTTTTATATATTTATGTTATGCAGCTACAATTTATTGATTTTCAAAATACACACACGCACAATATTTAATTTCAATCATATTTGCAGTTTGAGCCGCGCCGACTTGAGATACGTGAGCTTGCCTAATACAAAAGTTTACTTTATTGAAATTATTTCATTCTTTTTAGAGCGTTTGAAGTCGGTTGTATTTTTTTTACAAAAATAAATAATTTTATAATTTTTAGTGACTGTATAATTTTTTATATATTAATTACTTGAGGTTTTTGATAAGCAAAACTGTTTGTAACAATCAAAAGCTCCACAGAACAATCATTATTTTAAAACTGCTTGAGTCACCTGTTCAGGTTACATAATCAATGGGTATGAAAATAAACATTTTAAGATATTCCCTAAGAAAGAGAGAGTTGTCCATTACATTAGGCCTAATGAAAAACTAATTGTCTTTTCTTGATACATTGAAATGTCAGACATCATCGTTTCCTGCAATCGCTGTACTACATTATAAAAAGAAATACAGTAACGTCTCAAGCCTTTTGGAACAATATGAAAGTTATTCCTCAGCTACCAGCAGTAAAAAATCTCTCAAAAGTGGAAAATTGGTCGATAACACGTATAGTACCTTTGGAAAATATTTTATGAAAGATTGGTTCAGCTAAAAGTGGTGTAAGTCATGTAGGGGGTTTTGTTTACTCAAGATATAGCCTAGTCGAAATTGCAAATCATCTTCTTCTAGGACTTTCCGAAGCAGGCATAATAGTATTGATATGTTATAGTAACTGGGTAGAGAATATTAATAAACATTCCACATCTGCAAATGAAATATGTGTATGAACGATTGTTTCAGCTAAAAGTGGTGCAAGCCATGTAGGTGGTTTTGTTTGATCAAGATATAGCCTAGTCGAAATTGCAAATCATCTTCCTCTAGGACTTTCCGAAGCAGGCATAATAGTATTGATATGATAATATAGTAACTGGGTAGAGAATATCAATAAACATTCCACATCTGCAAATGCATGTTTAGTAATTAAAATATTTAACACTTTTAAGACAATTGACGATTATGCAATGTCACACTTCTTAGGTCGTGTAAGGAATAATTGCATTTAATTTATATTTAGACCTGTTTTACGAATGCTTTGGTTATCACAATACACCTTTATTTGTATATATCAAACAGCTATTTACTGAAACATATATGTTTTTTTTTTTAAGTCAGAATATTCAATACTAAAAACAGAATTACTGTATACACAAATCAGATCAAACGTTAAAATACATTTTTTATAGTAACCAAAACAAAATGCATGGCAAGAAATAGTTTATTGATCAATATGAAGCAACTGTTTCATGAAGAATTGTCTCTAGCTTCATTTAAATGGTTTCAACTAACAGCTGTAGGAATGTCATCATTATTTATTGCCTTCTCTGCACAAATGTAAACAATCTGCACAAATGTAAACAAAATAAATGTTGAATATTTAAGGTTTTCAGAATTTTTCACCGAAACAAATACTTAAACATAATATATAAGGTACCAAATAGAAACTCTCCTGGTTATTTTGGTGGTGGAACCACACTGATCGGTAAAAGAATCACAGAGAAATTGGTGAACATACATAGAAAAAAAAAATCGCCACAAACAAATTGAGAACCTCCTCCTTTTGTTGGTAGTTGGGAAGTCAGTTAATAAAATTAAACTGTCATAACCGAACCAAACCAACCAAACTTGCTGATAATGAAAAAATCTTAGACAAAAAGTTTATGCTACTTGCGGGATTCGAACCTGGGACCTTCAGCATGACAGCCCGGCACGCTAACCACTATACCACCGAGGCCAATGGCTAAACTCCGTATTGTTACGGTAATGGTGTTCCCTCAGCTAATAAGAAGCCCACAGCTGTCATCGTAGGCTCATCTATACCTCCCCTGAGTAAATACCCACAATCTATAATCTTATATTATATGTAATATGGTTAGAAGTGAGTAATATTAAAAGTGGATCTGTGTCAAAGAAGAGGGCGTTTTGAAGACAATTCTTGCAGGTTTAAAACTAACAGCTGCAAATGTGTTTGGTTTTTAGTAGCTGAGATTGCATTATTCAAACTTGTAGAAACTTGGTTTAATTTGGAATGAGGAATGAAACAAACAAAATACAAGGTTATTCAGAAAGTAAGGAACGTTTTCAGAACATAATGCACCATTATTTTGTGGAACTTTAATTATAACGTTGTTTTTGTACACTTCATTCACTTATTGAGTTTAAGTTTAAGTATTTGGCTAACAAAACTGTAACGGTTATATTTTTAAGTGTTACTCCTTTATATGTTATTTATAGTTATAGTGTATATTGTGGGGGGTGTGGTCGCTTGGCAGTGAGCACGAAGAAAGGTACTGGAGATTCAATTATACAAAATTATATTTTATATAGATAATAGAATAGAGATATTATAACAAGAACAAAGAGGGGCAAGTACTAAAGTACAAAATATGATTTTTAATCAAGTATAAATGTTTATGTTAATATTCTCAAAATAACAATTAATCCAAAGAGGCAATAGAAATCGGTCTGCATTGTAAATATATATTATTGTATCAAATAATTCTATGTAATAAAATTTATGAATTTATAAATATGAAAAAGTATTTAGGTCTTTAATAGTATTGCAAAATTGTCTGTGCTCTCTAAGTAAAAAAATATCAAGTTAAAAGTAAGAGAGGAGAACGGCCTTACCTTGGCCAGCTGGCGCTGGTTCCAGGGGGAGTGTGTGTTTTTGGTCAAACTCTACCAACGATGGTATTTTACAATTTAGCTACAAAGAGAGAGGGTAAGGCCATGATCAGCAATTTGTTGGATATTGAACTTTCTGAATGCGAGAAGCAGCACAAAACTGCTTACACTCAGCAACCAACTGCTGAAACTGATACTTCTACAATTGTTTGATTGATTGAAAATCATTTACAATATGAATTTTTAAATTTATTATTAAATTAAATTCTTCCCCAAAAATTAAATTCGTCCTACCATCACAAAACCATATTACAGACCACACATCACAAAACTAATGGAATTTTCAACTTGAATACGGTAGACTCCCTCTTATACAGACACTTTTAACCGGACTACACTTGGCAGAAGTGAAGTGACATCTTTATAACCAGACAATTTTCATCAGCCCATCAGTTTAACTGAACTGAGTTGGCAGGAAGTGGGTGCTACTGAAACAAATTTCTTCGTGTGACAGATTTGGAACAAGTGATAACCAATGTGTCCAAATACAATGCTGTCCTAAATTTAAGTAAAATACTTGGATTAGTGTTTGAGATATTCCCTTGGCGTGCACATGTATGGTTAGTCTTTTTCATTTTTCAAAAAAGTTAAAGTTTTTTGTTTTTTTTTCTTGTAAAAAAAAAATCAAACATAAATTTCAAAAGTAATGGTTCTGTAAAAGTACAAATTATTTAAAAATCTATTATATACATCTATTAGACAATTTAATTCCTTACATAGAAATATATACAAACTAAAGAATACTATATTTTACATGAGCTATGTTAAAAAAAACGGAAAAGCGTAAATCGCAAAAATGTGACTTTGCACGCCATTTATTGTAATTTAGAAAAATAATTTTGAAAATTTATAAAAGCTGTTAGAAAGTTACATTTTTTTGTAATCTAATTTTATAATTCAACTTATAAATCATGTAAAGCACATAAACACACATAAAATATATAAATATATACATACAGTGGGCTATATGTTTACAATGTCAAGGTGGCAACAGCAGCTTTGATATAAAATCATGTTAGGCTGAAGCCTAATCTTACTAATATTATAAATCTAAAAGTTTGTGAGTTTGTGTGTGTGTTTGTGTGTGTGTGTGTTGCTCAATCACGCATAAACTACTGGACGGATTGGGCTGAAATTTGGCATGATGGTAGCTCACATTCCCGATTAACATTAAAGCATATTCTTATCTCAAAAATCCTTTCGGGCTCCCCCCCAGTGGCTC